GAGTTGGATTCATGAACGACCTGGAGCTTGGGCCTGCGGCTGGAATTTGATGGAGCATGCAACCTGTTGCTGGGAATGGGATTTATTTGCTCAAAGGAGGGGGAAGGAGCGGAGGGCAATTAAATGGGGTTTTGAGTTTTTAAAGGTGCTTAGAAGACAGCGGGCGGAGGAGGGGCCCTGCTGACAGAGCCCGTGTTTTTAACACCACATCTGACTGAAACCAGCTGCCTCGGAGCAGCCAGGGCCTTTGCCATGTAAGGCCACATCGGCACCGGTTCTGAGGATCGGGATGTGGACGCATTCGGGAGGCCATTCTTCAGCAACCCCACCCGTGGTTACAAACGTGGGTACTGTGAGCATCCTCACGTGAGTCCCCAAGGCCGAGTGGGCACAGAGGTGGCAGCGCTGGGCTGATAACCGGTCTGTCTTCAGAGGTGGCTGCCCCCCGCACACTCCCCACCATCCACCCCAGCCTGGGTTCTGGGCCTGGTGGTGAGGAGTTTGGGGGAGGGACAGGAAGTGGCCGCCGCGAGCTGCCAGATTTCTGTCCCAGCCACTGTTTGGGCAGAATGAGTCAGCTTGGACGGAGGCCCTTGAGATAAACCCACATGGTTTTATGTCATTGTTTCTGGCAGCCTCTGTAAGGCTGCTTTACAACGAATGTCTCACACTTGCTGTGTCATCTTGGCCCAAAGGCTCCCTGTGTCACCCGGGATGCGGGGTGGAAAGCCGACCTTATATGAGCTGCTTGGAGCCAGGCCTGTGGACAAGATAAGAAATTTTCAGTCTTTGCTCCTCTTCTTGGAAAAATGATGTTGTTGAGGAGAGAGATACTGAGAGGGAGTGTGTGTGTGTGTGTGTGTGCGCGCGTGTGTATGCCTAGGGCTACTGCTCCAGAAGTTAGAGGGCTACTAAATATCTCCTCGAGCCACTAGAACACCTTCTCCTGACCCCCAGACTGACACTGTGGAGGCCAGCAGGCCTCATTAATCTCCATTGCCTTAGGTGTTGTTTGTAGCCACATTACAGTTTCCATTCACCGAGGGCCTATGACATGCCCGAGTCTCAGAGACAGTGAAGACGCAGTGATGGGGGTTACGAGCATAAGCTCTGGAGTCGGCTGCTTGGGTTCAAACACCAGCTCTTCTCACTGCTCTGAGCGTAGGTTTCTTTATCTGTAAAACGGGCCCATCCCAGACTTCATTCAGTCCAAGATGTCATCAGTTAGATGACACAACCTTTACTTTATGTGCTACAAAGAAATACAGTGCCCGTGAAACTGTGACCTGTCATGAATGCTGTCTCATTTCGGAGAAGATGGAATCAATTAACAGTGTGAACACTCACCTAGTGGGGCTCTTTTGTCACGATCATCCCCATTTTGCAGATGAGGAAACTGAGGTCAGAGTTACTTCCCAATACCACCCAGCAAGTAGTAAACAGTAGAAGCGTGATGTGGGCCCACTTGGCTGTGTGTCTCTTTAATGGCCTGAAAATCACGTCCAGTAACTGGGTACCCACACCATGGAGGACGAGATGAGAAAGATCAGGAGCAGGCTGATCATGGCTGCGTGTCTGTGAGCCAGTCCTCCACTGCTCTGAGTCTCCATATAACACTGGGAGCTGGGCTAGGCCTCGTGCATATGCTCAGTAAGCCTTCCTCCTCCCCTCCCCTCCCTTCCCCACTGCCCACCTGCAAGCAGCTTTAGGGCACCCCGTTAGCCACAGAAATCCCAAGCACAGAGCACTTGCCGTGGACACTTAGACTGACTTGGCTGGACAACCCAGGCCTCAGCACCCAGGACACCTGCCTCAGGCCTCGTCCTACTGAGAGCCCAGCCCTTGCCCTGCACCTGCTCCCCAACTCAGCCCCCAAAAAACACCTGGGTGGGCACAGCCAGCCTCGGGAGCTCCTAGCTCCTCTGCAGACACTGCCCTGGGGACAGGGAGGACGTTAGAAATGGACACCTAGGGTGTCAGTATTGGCTTAGATTTCCTTTTAAATTCCCAGGCCATGTAGTAATTGTTCATCCTTTTCTTACTGTTTTTTTTAAGTAAACTTTTTTTTGGAAGGATAACACCTGCCAGAGTGTCTGGATCCTAAGAGCACAGCCTATGGATTTTCACTAAATGCATCTCCATAGAACAGGCACCCAGATCAAGGCCAGGACATCACCGCCTGCCCTTCACGGCCCCCGCAGCCCCACGGGTCACCTCTGTGCTGACTCGAGGCACGTGGATCAGCTTTGCCCGTCTTTTTCACATTGTATAAATTCAGTGTGAGTGTTCTGTGTCTGGCTTCTTTTGCTTAACATTTTAATGAACTTCATTCACTTTTTTGCAGTTAGCAATGGTTTGTTTATTATGCAGTACGGTATGAATATAGTTCTTTTTATATGGATAAATGACAATTTATCCATTTTTCAGTTGATAAACATTTGTGTTAGTTCCAGCTTGGGGCTATTAGGATAGGTTGCTATCAACATTCTGGAACATTCTAGTACATTCTAGTACGTGCGTGGGTGATACGAGTATGCAAGCCTGCTGGGTACGTGCTTCGTTAGGGGAGAAATTGCTGGTCGTGAGTTATTTGTATATTTCACATAGCAGATGCCCCAAGCTGTGGGCGTACCATTTATATTCGCCAGTCAGTGTTAGCTTATCCCGTGGCTCCCGACGCCATGGGGTAGTAGAGGAGCAGACGTCAGTGGTTGCTGCTGGAGAGGAGGGTGTGCGCGGGAAGAAGACGGGTTGGACGTTTGAAGCCTGCGACCTGTCTTGGTTTTCCTGAGCAAGGGAGTCGGAGAGTCGGGAGCCTGTTGCAGTTGTTTGCTGTGCCATCTGCCGCGAGATGGTATTTTCTTGGCTCTGCCCTGTAATGAGTGTAAGTGTCTGTTCAGGACGGAGTATCCAAGGGAGGGAATCCACCCACAGTCCCACCTTGAGAATATTTAAATGTCAATGTGGTTAATTGGCTGCGCAGCCCACTCCACCTCCAGCTCTACCCCTGCCCCCCCCCCCCCCACAGCCTCAGCAAACACACTGCCTGCCTCACCCGCCTCACCAGCCGTGGGGGGCAGCCTTGAGTCAGCAACCCAGACAGGTGAATCAGACTCCCTGTGAGTCAGCTACCCTGGGAATCTCACCTTAAGCAGGTGAGGAAGTGAATCTTAGAGATCATGGGCTAGCATTTTGGGTGAGTGAATGGATAGATAGAGAGATAATAGATTGTGTGTGTGTGTGTGTGTGTGTGTGTGTGTGTGTGTGTAAACTTAATGTAGGCTTACACAAGTGTGTGTTGACCATCTGCTACCTCTCTTAGTAGCCAGCATTACCTGAGTATTTACCATGTGTTAGGCATGGACAGATGCCTACATCTTTACACACCTGATTTCATGTGATTCTCTTATAAACCCTAGAAAGCAGGAACTATTGACTGCATTTTACTAACAGTGAACCAGAGGCTCAGAGGGTTAACTCACCTGCCTAGGGTCACACAGCCAGTAGCTGACAAGCCAGGATTTTAACCCATGGCATCTAGCTCTAGGCCTCCGTTCTCCTAACCACTCTTTACATTTCCCACCAAGTGCCAAGCATGGTATGGAGCTCCATTTCTCATGCTCACTGTGCAAGGTAGGAATCGTTAGTTCCCTTAACAGATGAGGAAACGGAGGGCCCGAGAGGTTTAGTAACCCACACCAAGACACACAGTCAGTAAGGAAGAGAGCTGGGATTCAGACCGAAACCATCCAATACCAGAGCTCTGACCTCACCCACTACCTCAACCAAGTCTAGCACACAGCCAGGGCTCCGTGAACACTAAGGGAATGAATAGAATGCCTATGGTATTTTAGCAATAAAGTCAGAGACCAAAGAAAAATGCAAGCTCTTGTGTTGATGTAGATGGAAAATGAACTTTCCTAATGTCATCCCGGCTTCTTTCAGCCAACATTGGACCCTGTGAGCAAGATGTGGTGCTAGGGGCTAGGGATGCTCCGGTGAATCTGGAACTTCATTCATTCATTCACTCATTCATCCCCTCCCTCACTCACTCACTTGTTCATTCAGTGACTGTTTACTGAGGGCCTGGTCTGTGAGTGCCTGGTCAGGCTCACTTTGCAGGGGAAGGACAGATGTGCATGCCAGCAACTAAATGAGAAGGTGTGACTGTCACTGCGTAATGTCCCTTTCCATCTTGTCATTCATCTTAAACCACTGGTCCTGGAAATGAACTCAATGAGGCTGAAAATAGTTTGAAAAACCCTCTATCTAGACAGGCATCTGGTTTAGGGGAAGTATTATTGGTGTTTACACACTTCTGTCTGAAGACTCTAATGCATCATTTGCTGATGGTAATTAGTATGCATCAGCGGCCACTTTGCTGGTCTTTTATCACTGTCCCCACAAACCGCGACTCCAGGCGAGCAGGAGCAGCTGGGATGAGTGGCCGGCAGAGTGCTGTCTGAGTGGGGTCTGAGGACCCGGCCATCGTTGGTGTGTGCCCAGCTTTCCCTCCTGAGACCCTGGGAGAGAGGGAACTCGGCTAGATTCCGCAGGTGCCCTGGGAGGCTGGGGTGGGGGTGGGTGCTGGTGAAGATCCTGGAGAGCCCAGAAGAACTTGCTCCCAGACCCGCCTCCCAGAACCAGCCTGAGTTCCCGCCCCAGGCTTACTATCCCAGAGGGTTACCAGGGGCATGTCCACAAGTCCACCCTCCTACGTGTCACTTCTCATAACTGTGTGGGTAACCCCTTCTTAAAAATATGTTTTTGTTGATTTCACAGAGGAAGGGAGAGGGAGAGAGAGAGAGAAACATCCATGATGAGATGCCTCCTGCAATTCTCTACTGGGGATTGAGCCTGCAACCCAGGCATGCGCCCTGACCGGGAATTGAACCGTGACCTCCTGGTTCATAGGTTGATGTTCAACCACTGAGCAACACCGGCCGGGAAAGATCACCCTCATCTCAACAGCTACCAACAATTTCTCTCGTCCTTTTCAGCCTCTGTAAAGGACGGACCCTCTATTCGGTGGTGCGGGACGCCAAGATCGTCTTGGATGTCAATAAAACCAGGCAGATTGCCCAAGAAATTGTGAAGGTAACATAGGGTCTGGGCCCCCACCCTCCCTGAACCTCAGAAAGACCGTGCCCCCTCTTGGGACTCACAGTGTGGCTTCAGACCAATAGTCTGGGCTTAAAAGAAATCAGACTTGACTTGACAAATGTTATGCCAAGTGTATGTAAGAATTTTGCCCCAAGATACAACCATTAGGGATGGTCTCTCAGTGTTTGGTTCCTATCTAGTGCCTCGTCATCATGATAATTGGACATGTACAGGGACCAGGAGGGGAACATTCTCCTTGTTAGAATCCTTTACTCCTCAAGTCCTTGAATTCCCAGGTGTGTTAGCCATCTCTCTCTAGCTGCTGGGGAAACATCCAATTATTGGATGTTGTTTGGAATTAAAACAAGCAGGAACATCCTGTGTTTTCTGGCAGATGCCTCATTAGTCAGTTGTATCCGGTCTTTTATTTCCATTGGAAGTGTCAGGACTAAGGGGTGAGAAGCAATAAAAATGTAACTTCTCATAAAGGCAGACAAAACTCTAGACACCCACCCTTGAGCTGCACCTTCAACAGGTTCTTCTCCATGTTTTTGATGATCGAATCCTGTTATGTCTCTTGAGGAATGCAGTGTGTTCAGCAGGGGCAGGGGCGAGGTTAAGTAGACAGGAGCAGGTCTCCTGCAGGGAGTTATTTGTCAAAGAGGAATGGGGGGGGGTGTGGGGGAGACAGCTAATGAAATTCCTTTCTCGGGGCCCTCATCTCAGATTTGTTCCCACCCTCTTTCTTTTGGAGAGATCTTCCTTTGTTTCTAATTCAGGAAGCAGAAGAGCTAGATGGAGACAGTCGTGCAGTGGTCTGAGGGTGGTGGCAGATCTGTGCCTTGGGGACCCTGCTTGTTCCCACCTGCCAGGCCTTCTCCCACCCCGCCTGTATGCCTTTAATGTGGGCCCTGGTTCTCCTGCTGTCGTGTGGTCCCATGGGCAGAGCAGGGAGCGTGAACCAAGAACCCAGGCCACGGTGGCAGCGAGCACTCAGGTTTCCTCTGACAACCCTGTCGCCTTGTTCCTGGCAGGGCATGGGCTACCTCCACGCCAAGGGAATCCTGCACAAGGACCTCAAGTCCAAGAACGTCTTCTACGACAATGGCAAAGTGGTGATCACAGACTTTGGGCTCTTCAGCATTTCTGGGGTGCTGCAGGCTGGCAGGTGAGAAGTGGTGGGAGGGCTCAGAGGTACCGGGATGGGGAGTCATCCCAAATGGCTTTAGTGACCTAGACGTGGTGTAGCCTGAGGTCACCTAGCTGAGCAGCCAGGCCGCCCTGTGATGGTGCAGGGCCGACTCCCAGGCGGGCACCGAGCATCTCCAAATCCTGCAAAGCCCTGGCCTTGAGTTCACTGGAGGACTCTTCCCTCATCCCAGGTACTCACCCGGAAGTGGGAATCACCCAAGAGCCTCCCTCCAAGCTTCCTTATGAATCCATTCATTTTAGTGGAGCAGGACTTCAGTTAAGAGCGAGGGATTTAAAGTCAGACACGCCCGGAGCCCAGCGTGGCTTGGCCACTTACTAACTGTGACTTCAGTCAAGTCATGGACGTTTTCTGAACTTCAGTTTCCCGTCTGCAAGGAAAATGATGGATGGGTTGTGCTTGCCTCCGGGTCCTTGTGCGGATAAAATCAGATACCACATCCAGTCCAGCGCAGTGCCTGGGGCACAGGACACTACAAATAGTAGCTGCTGCTGCGTTGTAATTAGTATTAATTTGCATAGACCTCCTCAATATCACACAGGAGAATCATTAACCACCAGTTAAGTAATTAACTCTCAGGCGCCTCTCACCCCTAGAGCGAGGTGACCGTGTGAAAAACAGCTTGATCCCAAGTAAACAACCCATAATTCAGAAGGGCCGCCTGTGTGGCTTTTAATTTGGAAAGTGTGTGCATACACACACACACACACACACACACACACACACACACACACACTCCAGGCCCAGCGTATTTTCGTGTTTTCTCTAACAGAGCCCCACGTATAACGAATGGCTTCCTCCTCAGAGAGGCAGCCTCTCTCCTTCCTCTTCAGCTTCTTCCCTTTGAGAATAACTGGTGTCTGCGCTGCACCCAGGCCTCTCCCAAGTGAATTTGGTTCACGCTCCGTAATACCTTGAGTCTAAGTCCCACCGTCCGAAGTCGGGTGAGACGTGATCTGGTTCTTTCTGTGTGATGTGGAAACGAACAGAAGCTTAAATTTCTTTTTTAGATTTTACTCCACCCGCCCCCCCCCAAGTTCTCGCAGTCTTCAAAACCATCTAGATAGAGCATCTCAGATAAGAAAATAGGCAGAAAATGATCAAATACATCGGCAAGGAGCGAGGTGGAGAGAGGCCTCAAGTCAGAACCCAGAAGCCAGGCGGGCTGGCTCCCGCGGGCTCCTTCCTTCCCTCTGCCTCCCCGGCAGCACTTACTTCGAGGTTTGCTGCGTGGGGACCGGTACACTCCCCCCGTTGCCATCGCCACTGCCCCTCTTTCTTGGATGGCATTCTTACTTTGGGTTCTACTCTCAACCTCATTTCTGAGTCCTCAAGATAAAAAACACATCCGTAGGTAGTACCGAAGCGCACTGATTGTGTGGCCCTGGCAGCTGACACAGCCCTGTGCCAGGCCTTCTCTCCCTTTCATCCCTGCACTGACCATGTGAAAGTATGTGCCCATTTTGTAGGTGGGAAAATAGAGACTCGGGTCTGCTCAAGGTCACAGAGCTGGTAAGCAACAGATGGGTCCTTAAATCCCTGCCAGTGGCTCCATTCCACAAGCAAGAACTCACTGGCCTGCCACCTCAAGCGCTTGCTAATGGATTCGAGTCCTGTATTTGCTAGCGGGTGATGTGTTCTATCCCGTCTGCTGTGTAGGGCACAGGAGCAAGTCATGTGTCACTGATGGGGAAAGAGTGAATTTGGACCATTTCCTTATTTTATGTAGAAATTTGAACAGTGATCCTCAGCTACGCTCTCCCTGTCCTCCCCGGGACATTTGTGATGTCTGCAGACATTTTTAGTTGTCACAGCGGGAGAGGAGGTGCTACTGGTGTCGAGTGGGTACAGGCCAGAATGCTGCTCACCATCCTCCAGTGCGCAGAGCAGCCCCACCCAACGGACTGTCCAGCCCAAACCAGAACTCAGACTCCTGCAGCCCCTCGCCAGGCTTCTCCCGCCCCCAAGCGAGGTCTGCAAGACGACTTCAGGGAGGATATGAACAAACATTTTCCATATTAATTTTAATGTGTACTTAAGAAGTGCTAGTTTCTACTTAAGGTCACGTTAAAAGGTAATCTATTAAAATATACAGGAGTGAAAAAAATCCATTTGTTATAAATAATAATCTAGCGTAGCACTGTCCAAGGTGGTAGCCACTAGCCACAGGTGGCTATTTTAACTTTAATTCAAATAAGTAAAAAGCTCACTTCTTCAGTTGCATCGGCTGGATATCAGTTGCTCAGTAGCCAGGATGGCTAGCGGCTGCAGTATTGGAAGCGAAGGGTGAGAAAAGCTGCTCTCTGCTCTCGAAGGTGTTGAGCTAGGGCAGGACTCCCCGCTGTGGGATGTGAAGGAATGAGTTCAGGGGGCAATGCCTCACGCCTTGTGGAGCTCAGAAGCCTGCCCTGGAGGAAGCCTCCAGCCCAGCCAGCCTGGGGTTCCCAGCAGTAGCCTCACTCCTTTTTGTTTGTTTGTTTGTTTGTTAATCCTTATCTGAGGGTATTTTTCCCCGTTGATTTTCAGAGAGAGAGGAAGGTGAGGATGGAAGGGGAGAGAGAGAGAGAGAGAGAGAGAGAGAGAGAGAGAGAGAAGCATCAATGTGAGAGAGACACATTGATTGCTTGCCTCCTACACATGCCCGCCTGGGAATGGGGATTACCAGGGATCGAACCTGCAACTGAGATATGTGCCCTTGACTGGGAATCAAACCCATGGCCCTTCGGTGTGCAGCCAACGCTCTAACCACTGAGCAGCGTCAGCCAGGGCACAGCCTCACTCCTGATGGTTGGAGATACCCATCCCCTTCTCCCACACCTGCCCACTCTCCCTGTATCAGCTGGCCCTTTCCTAGGAGAGAGGGGAAACTCGCAGGAGGTTGGATTTCATCTCAGATGGAGAGTTCTGCACTTGCTAAAGGTGCACAGTGAAGAAGGGAGCCAGCTTCCTGTCTCCTCCATGGATCCCGAGGACTGCTCATAGGTGCTGCCCAAACATGTCCACGCAGCATTGTTTATGGTGCTGGAAGGGGAGCCACCCAAGTCCCGCCCCCGCCCGGGTTGGATGTAAACATTTGAGTGGATACACAGGATGGCGTCATGTGTGCCACTCACACTGGTGTTTCTAGGTTTCTAGAACACCCCACACAGGGCCTGCCTGGGACCTTGGTCTCACTTTCCCTCCTGCCTGTAGTTTTCCTGTGCAGAGGGCTGGATCCTTTGGGTCATGCCCATCTTAGCTCACATTTTACCTAAAGCCAGCTTCCTCTTATCTTTGACACTTCCCCTTTCTAACCTTTTGTGCAATGCTTACCACCGTCTGTGTCTTTCCTGTTTATTTAATTCACTTGTCATCGCCTCTCCCTACCAAAGTTCCGGCTCCAGGAGGGCGGGCCCCGTTGGTCCTGTTCTCCGCTGGGCTCCTGGTGTGAGACAGCCTGGTGTCATAGTGCATGCTCCATAAATACAGCTGGTCTTCATCAGTCACAGACTCCGTATTTGCAACTCACCTACTCAAATGTATTGGTAACCCCAAATCCGCATTCACGGCCCATGCAGTCATTCAGGAGCATGCAGGGTGGGGAAGGATTGGAGTCACATGACAGGCCTGTTCCCCACTGAGGCTGAACAAAGGGCCACTCTTCCCTGTTGCTCCAGCGGCCATGGGGAGATGACCAGGGAGTGGGGGGGGGGGGGGGGGTGCCTGCCGTGCAGCGCAAAAAGCCCCAGCCCTGGGGCCAGCTGGCACTGGGCAGTGGGGCAGCTCTGGACAAGCATCAACACTCGGAGCCTCAACTTCTCTTGTGCAAAATAAAGAAAGCAGAATGGACCACACATTTTACCTAAAGCCAGCTTAGATGATGTATGTGAGAGGTGTCCTTTTTAACCTTCTGTGCAATGCTTACCACCGTCTGTGTCTTTCCTGTTTATTTAAATGTTTGTGGAGACTACAGAGCATGACTCCACAAGGATGAGAATCAGTTGTATTCATGGAATGCAGGGGGGAGGGGCGCCTCAGAGGCGAAGGGACCCACGATGGTTTGGGTGTTGCCTGTCTCTCTAGACCAGCCTTCCCTGTACCACTCCCAATGGGTCTTAGCCTCAAGTACAAGGCCAGGCAATGCCCCAACGGAGATGCTAGAAAGCCAGCAGAGATGGCACAGAGGCTGGGGTCAGCGCTGGGGGCCTGACCTCCCGGGGCTGCGACACAGGACTCACTCTGTGCTTTGCTTTCCAGGCGGGAGGACAAGCTGCGCATCCAGAACGGCTGGCTGTGCCACCTGGCGCCCGAGATCATCCGCCAGCTGTCCCCCGACACGGAGGAGGACAAGCTGCCCTTCTCCAAGCACTCGGACGTCTTCGCCCTCGGGTAGGCGCCCGCCCCGGCCTTCGAGAGCCTCGGCCCCAGAGGCCCGTGTCCCAGGTTTCCTTCGGTGCTTTTGGGAGGGACAGGGCACCTGTCTGTGGGGGCAAAGTGGCTGGGTTTCTGAGTGAGGTTGGGGGATCTGACTGGGGTGCAGGAAAAAGGGGGGCCCCAGCACATCTTCGTGCCTGGTTTCTAACTGGTTATGGGCCATGGCAGGCTACCTGGCTCATTCACAACAGTATGTCCGGTTTCAGCACAACCGCAGTACTGTGTGCAGAGTGGAAAAGAGAAGGACAGGATTGAGGCTGGTGACCAGTCCAGGCGGAGATGCTGGTGCTGTCCACTGAGTCAGTGCCGGCGGGTGTGGAAACTGGGAATGGAGACTCATTCAGAAATGGGAGCGATGGGGTTTGATGTGGGTGGCGCCCAGATTTCTACCTTAAGCACCTGGGCAGAGGGAAAGTTACCGCCTCACCAAGGTAGAGGGACCCTGGAGGTGGGGCAGGAAGGCAAAGAGGGCCGATTCGTACACAGTGAGTTTGAGCTGCCAGGGAGCTGGCCAGCGGAGCCAACCAGAAGGCGCAGAATCTGCATCTCGAGCCTGGGAAAGAAGAGTTGAGGATTGTCGGTGAGGAAAGGGTAACCGCCGTCCTGGGAGACAACCCGATGTCGTTTTTGTTTTGTTTTTAATTGATTTCAGAGAGGAAGGGAGAGGGAGAGAGGGATAGAAACATCAATGATGAGAGAGAACCATCGATGGGCTGCCTTCTGCACGCCCTACACTGGGGATCGAGCCTGCAAGCTGGGCAAGTGCCCTGAAGGGGAATAGAACCATGACCTTCTGGTTCTTAGGTCAACGCTTAAGCACTGAGGCTCACAGACCGGCTGAATGAGATGTCTTTGGAAGTGGAGAAGGGGGTGAGGATCCAGGACACTCAGCCCCGAGATGCGGGCCGAGCGCTCTGAGGTGCAGCTGGGAAGGCTTCGTGCTCCCCTCCCTCCAGCGGCCCGCTAACCCTCACCTGAGCCATCCGGGTGGTGGCAGGGCTGGGGAGAGAATGCTGGGGAAGCTGCCTGGGAAAGCCGCAGGCCTGCAGATGCGTGTAGATACACTGAGCACCCGGAGAGACGCTAGGCCGTCTTCCCCGGAAAAGGGCCCCACCGCGCCCCTCTGTAAAACCTGGGGAGCGGTTCCTGGCACATTAGGATGCTCAACGACTGTCACTTGGACCCCTTAGTGGCTGTCATTTTCCCTGATTCGTTTATGCCCCAATCTTTATCTAGTTAGAAACTGTTATCTGAAACCAAATTGCAGTAATTAAGTTGGTATATTTTCATACAAATTTAGCAAAAGAAAGAGGAATGTAATTAACAAAATGTACCGAAGTAAGTAATTACTTTTCCACGGGTGTTTTCATCTTCGGCAACTGTTATTTTTCTTTAAGTGAGTTCTCTTGCAAGTTGGGTGCAAAAGAAAGTTTTAAGGAGGCCTTCCTTCCTGACACTTGCATTCTGGTTTCCTGCCCATCAGATGCCTCTTGGCGCTTGGGAGCGCCATGCTCACGCATGACTTAGAACAAGGGGACTTTCAGAAGCGTGGTGAGCACTGCGTTAGGGCCCTTATGAACAGGTGTCATGCCCGTTCCCAACTGACAGGTGAGGAACAGGCTCCGAGGGGCTCAGTGACTCCCCCCATGGCAGGCAGGAGCTGGGAGTCAAACGGGGGACAGCCTCGAACCAGATTTGGTGCTTTGAACCAAGGAGTCATTTCACCACTCAGAACCCTAATTAACGATCATAAAACCCACTGAGGTGTTGTAAGGAGTAAGTGAGCAAACACCCACAGGGCACCCAGCCCAGCACCCCACTCCCGCTCCCGACAGCTTCCCTTTCTCCTTTCACATGAGCAGCGCCTGCAGCCTGCAGTCTGTCTGTGCTCCTCACCAGCCCTCACCCATCAACTACAGGGGTTGTCCTCCCAGGGAATTCTCTGCCCCGATTGCATGATGGGGCATAGGGTTGCCAGTCTAGCACAGTGCCCAGTGATGCAATTCTGTAGTCAGATGAACTTGTTACAACCACCTGTTTGCTATGTGACTTCAAGTAAGATAACATAACCTTCCTGGGCCTCGGTTTCCTCATCTGTAAAATGGGGATAATGAGCGTGCCTCCTGTTTTAAAATGGAGCTTTCATTATTATTCAGATACGATGAGGCCAATAGATTAGGGCAATGACTGCCATTGAAAGGATACTTTGTTACAGTTCCCAGAAGGACAGGGCATATGTACTGAGAAGTAAACACTCAATCAGTGTTACTGTTTATTGTGATGATAAAACCACCGAGCACCTTAACTTGAGAACTTCCTGAGCATCTAAAGCAACATCCCAGCACCTGAGCGGCAGCACCCCTCCCCGCCCCAGAAGGATGAGGTTGGCAGGGAGAAGCGATGCTAAGGGGAAGTGGAACCCTAGAAATAGCCCGATTGACACAGTCCTCTGATTCAAAAGGATAACGGGGTGCTTTGTGTTCTTTAAGGCAAATTTACACAAATTAGCCTAGATCGGAGGAAAGATCAGCTCCGAGGATGGTTTCAGAGAGTCCCTGAGTTGCGGAGCCTTGTTCTCAGTGAGCTTGTAACTGGACAAACAATGGATCCGTGCTGCCTGTCACTACTCAAGCCAATTAAGCAGAGACAGGGTTGAATCATATGTGAGTGTTTATTCCAGTATTGCCAGCAGTATGGGAGAGCAGCAGGTTAGCCACAAAAATCTGCTCTGCAGCCCACCATAAGCCAGCTGCTTATATAGGCATAAGTACAAAGGAAAGTAGGCAGAAGGGCAGTTTACAGATATGCAAAAGGCTAGGGGTCTTCAAAGGGCTTAGTGATATGCAAGGGCTGGGGTTACATGGGGAAATAGCCAAAGGGAGTGCCAGAATTAACAGGTAAGAAGGCTGGAGGTCTGCAAAGGCCTGCAGGTATGCAAAAAGGGCTGGGGACCTTCAAAGGGCTGGTGATTCTGGTTTCTGTAACAAATCTTTGTTAATCTTCCCATGATGACAGGCAGCTCCAAATGGGGAGGAAGGGCTTCGTCTCCAAGTCAGCTCCTGACAGGGTGGAATGTGCCTTCTTTAATCAGAATAAAACAATCACGGTTAACAGAGCCTGATTAATAGTTCTTACAATACTAGCTGGTTTCCCATCATTCTATTTCTGCCCCCTTTCAAGCTGAGACCTATCCACACGGAATAGCTCCAACACCCACATCCCAGGAGCACTCACATGGTCCTCACTGCCCCCCACACCTCCCAGCATCATTTATCCTGCCCAGCCTGGGCCCTGTCCATTCCCACGTGCTGCTCACCGGAGCAGACCTTTCTTCAGTCATTACACTGTCATTGTCTATGAAATACGTGATGACAAAATCAGTCCTTCTAGAACAGCCGTGGGCAAACTACGGCCCGTGGGCCGGATCCGGCCCGTTTGAAATGAATAAAACTAAAAAAAAAAAAAGACCGTACCCTTTTATGTAATGATGTTTACTTTGAATTTATATTAGTTCACACAAACACTCCATCCATGCTTTTGTTCCGGCCCTCCGGTCCAGTTTAAGAACCCATTGTGGCCCTCGAGTCAAAAAGTTTGCCCACCCCTGTTCTAGAATCAACCTGGCATCGAATTGCCCTCCACTCAGCATCCCAGATACACAGCCTCCCGTCTCTAACGGGGCAGGTTAGGGCGTCCAGGCTCAGGGAAGTGACGTGACCTGCCCAGCATCGTGCAGCCAGTGCGGAGCAGAACCAGAACTGAACGCAAGGCAGCCTGACTCTCAGACCGTTTTTCTTTCAGTTATTCTACAGGATGATTCACACTTAGAAAAACACAAGTACAAAAGGAAAAATTCCTATCCTATTCTATCCTATCACAGAGATAGCCACTGTTAACACTTTACAGTGTTTCTCTATTCTCTTGTCGATACATATATAATGCTTTTTTAAAAAAGAGTAACATATCTTAGACATAGTTTTTTTTCATTTGAAGTGATATATTGAGCATTTTTGTCCTGTTAGCAAAGTTTTTTTGAAATGTGTTAATAATGTAGGATTCTATGTCATTTGATGGGTTTACCATGATGCAGCCTGTTCCCTCTACTGAACACTTGCATCATTCCTGCTTTCTTCAATGTCATGCATCATGTTGCAGAGAACATCCTTGTAAATGACTCTTATATCCTTAATTATTCCCCTACATGGCTCTCTAGAATTACAGGCCAGAGGTCACAGCCACACTCTATTAAATTATTCAGGTTCTAGGGTTTGATTCATGTTAATCAAGGCACCAAGGCGGTATCCTGGGATAAGCATGACTCTAAGACACCAAGAAAGCCTTAAGCACAGCCAGGGAGAGAAACAGCCACCCTGTGAGGAAGAAAGTAGGGGACAGAGTGATCAGCCAGCAGGCTGGGGGGTGGGTGGGTGTTAGTGGGGGGATACGAGTAACATGTCACACCAACACCCCTTTAACAACGTCTGCCAACAGAACAATCTGGTATGAACTTCACGCCAGGGAGTGGCCTTTCAAGACCCAGCCAGCAGAGGCAATCATCTGGCAAATGGGCACAGGCATGAAACCCAACCTCAGCCAGATCGGCGTGGGAAAAGAGATCTCGGTGAGTCGGATGGTGCCAGGTCCTGGGGACAAGGGGAGCAGCAGACACCATTCCGGGCTTTCTTTTTCTTGTGTGCGAAGGTTGCAAGTGCTTTCCCAAAGGGTAACCAAAAAGCATGCCCACAGCCTTGTCCTGTAATGATTTGGAGCTTAGAAGGCAAAACTCTCTGAACCGTGCCTGCCGTTCAGGTTCCTACCATCAGGGACGCAGTAGCACTTGGCCAGGTTTTCCTAGCAGTGGACTGCTGAGTTAAGTAGAACCAGGGAATCCTTCTTTTTCTGTCAATTTAAAAAAGACATTCATTAAAATAGCACTGGTAATCTAATTTTAATTGCATCTACATTAAAAAATTTAAGGCATTGTCCAACTCAGAACAAGATATAAAGAAACAGAGAAGCCTGAGTATCTATATATATAAAAGGCTAATATGCTAAGTCTCCGACTGTCCGACCAGTTGCTATGGTGCACACTGACCACCAGGGGGCAGACGCTCAACACAGTGACTTGGCAGCAGCAGTTCTCAGGTGACGCACCCCAAAACCAGAGAGAAGGGAACCTGATTCCCCGAGGGGCCTCGTGATTCCACCTTCGGCTGTGGGTTATGTTGTTGCTGGGGCACTGTCGCCCCAAATCTGGTTTACTGCACACTTGCATTTGCATTCCACACCCTGTATGACAGCAACTTTGCAGAGTGCCGTCTCGCACTCTGGGACCCCTTGGGGGATGTCAGGCCAGGTCGAGGGACCCCGCTCACTCTGCAGACGCCAGGGAGGGACAGAGGGAGGTTGGCTCCAGGGCGTGTCCGGCTCATCTTGCCCAGCCCCGCCCCACCTGCTACCTTCTAATTAATTTCCTTTCAATGTTCATGAATCCGTGTACTGGGTCACTAGTATATTAATAGTCGTCCTCTAAAACATAGCACGAAGAATTCCCCTCTTTTTTTTTTAATCTTCACCGAGAATATTTTTTCCATTGATTTAAAGAGAGTGGAAGCGGGGGCTGGGGGGGAGAGAGAGAGAGAGAGAGAGAGACACTGATGTGAGAGAGCCACATCAATTGGTTGCCGCCCACATGCCCCCGACCAGGGCCGGGAGCCTGCAATCGAGGTATGTGCCCTCAACTGAAATCGAACCCAGGACCCTTCAGTCTGCAGGCCAACACTCTATTCACTGAGCCAGACCAGCTAGGGCGAATTCCCTTCTTTTGATCAGAGACAGATGAGTCAGGGAGGGGGTCATTATCTGGAATGCTTTTAAGGACTGCCTGCCTCTTAAGTTTCCTTTCTCAGGTTAGAATATTACTATAAGTAATTTTCCCCTCGATGACTTTGAAGGGCACTATAGTGTTGGGATGTGGATTCCTTTTCTCCCTCCCCGTTAAGAAAAATGTTCACAAACTCATTGAGAAGTATTTTATTGATCTTAGTGTATTCCAGGCCTTCTAGAATAGGGCTAACCTAGTCTGCCATATGGCCTAGAAAGTAGGTGAGTAGAAGGATAGGTGGATGGGTGGATGGATGAATGGGTTGGTGGATGGGTGGATGGATGGATGGGTAGATGGATGGATGGATGGATTGATGGATGGATGGATGGATAGATCATGGATGGGTGATTGGATAGATGGATGGATGGATGGATGGATAGATGATAGATGGGTGGGTGGATGGATGGATGGATGGATGGATAGATGATGGATGGGTGGGTGGATGGATGGATGGATAGATGATGGATGGGTGGATGGATGGATGGATGGATAGATGATGGATGGGTGGGTGGATGGATGGATGGATGGATGGATAGATGATGGATGGGTGGGTGGATGGATGGATGGATGGATAGATGATAGATGGATGGATCTTTGGATGGATGGATGGATGGATGGATGGATGGATGGATGGATTATAAATTCATGGATTTAGATGGGTACATGCATGATGGATGGATGGATGGATGGATGGATGGGTGGGTGGATAGATGGACGAATGGATGGATGATGGGTGGATGATGATTGAAGAATATGCAAGTGGGATAAATGGATATACAAATGGACAGATCCAATGAGGTTCTAAAGAGTAATATAGACATCATTTTTGTTAAATCATCACATACTGGTTTCTTTTAGGACATCCTTCTCTTCTGCTGGGCCTTTGAACAGGAGGAGAGACCCACCTTCACCAAGCTCATGGACATGCTGGAGAAACTGCCAAAACGAAACCGCCGCCTGTCTCACCCCGGGCATTTCTGGAAGTCAGCAGAGTAGGTCTTCTCCCTCAGCCCTCTCCCCACTGCCCGTGTCCTCTGGCCTTGGTCACCTGTTGCTCCCCTCCCCAGCACCTCCGCCAGCCTTCTCCTTCCCATGCACACCTCCCTCCCCCAGCCACCGTTCGCCCCACCAGGTTTCTGTTCAGGGGAGTCTGCTCTGGGATTTGGGCCCTCGCACTGCCCTGTGGCTACCATGCTACCTCATTGCCTAATTCTCTCCGGTGAAGGCTGATGCCCAGTGGGTGGAGCATCCCATGGAAGGCGGTACCCTGAACCCACCAAGCCCCCCATGTCAGGTATTCCGCGGACCCCTCCAAAAGGCCTAGCTTTCAGGAAATCTTCCCTCAAACTAGCAGCCTGTCCCCATCAAGGCAACGCTGAGCTCCCAGCATTCTCTGTTGCACAAAGACAGGCAGGGAAGGTTCTCCCTCCTTCCTGCCACAAGCGTCTCTGCCTTCCTCACTAGGAGGTGCCGGGCTGCTCCCTCCCCCTTATTCCTGGCTGGAGCGCAGTGGCTCTGGGACAATACGTGTGTCTCTCTCTGGGGACCTCCCTCAGTGGAGTGGTCAGTGCTAGAGTCCTTCCGAGGCAGCCGGGGCTTGTAATCTGCAAAGGGGACCCACCAAGAGGTCTTAGCTGCAGCTGGCGTGTTCCAAGGGCGTCCGGCTAACTCAAAACTCACCTCTCGGGTCTCAGTTCGCCCCTCTGGTGGTCACACCCGAGGAGCTGTGGTTTCTAGAATCTCTTATGTCTCAGCACATGGTGGGTTGGAGGAAGGCAAGCCTGTGTTCCAGAGACGTGCACCTCACATTTAATGTGCGTTCAGATCACCTAGGGAATTCTTATTCTGCAGGTCTGGGTGGGGCCCAAGATCTTGTATTTCCAACAAGCTCCGAGGTGATGCTGGGCGGCCGGTCCATGGGTCACCCTCTGAGTAGTGGGGCCTGGACCTCTGCTGTCCAATACCAGCCACTCGCCATGTGAGGCCACTGAACACTCGGAGTGGGGAGTGGAATGGAGATGGACTATAGGTGTGAAGTAGGAGAAAGAAGAGACTGCAGTATAATTTGTTACATTACATGGACAGTATTGGCTACATGTTGAAATTATAATGTTTTGGAGCTACTTAAATTAAGTAAAATATATCATTAAGATTAATTTTACATTTTAACTTTAAAAATATGATTAGAAAATTTACAATGACATAGATGACTTCATTTTAAACAGCTTGCTGAGATATAGTTCACATAGCATATAATTCTCCCATTTCAAATGTACAGCTCAGTGGGTCGGTGTGTAAGTATTTGTCCGTGTTCCTGCTTCCATTTCTTTTGGGTTGCACTGTACGTCCATTGCATGGCACTAGTCTAGATCATCATCACAACCACCAGCACAGTACCTGTCGTCTGGGTATCACTTACTAAACATGTGTGGCCGGTGCTATGTCAGGATTCTATCTGCATTACCTCATTGAATCCTAAGAGCCCCTCCCCCCGGGAGGTAGGTGCTAGTACTGTCACTGTTTACTTATGAGAAAACCAAAGCACACAGAGGTTAAGTGCCTTCCCAACGATCGCACAGCTAGTAAGGAACAGAGCAAGTATTAGAACCCAGGCTGGTTTAGACCCTGAATCCATGATGTTGACCCCTCCACTTTGCCAGCTTCTAGGCAAAGATTACCTGTGCACCTTCTGGGTCTCTTTCCAGAACCATCCTGGGAGATTGGGTACATACTTCTGCCCCTGATGGCCTAGATTCTGTCTCAGCAGTGTTCAGCAAAGCCTCTCCTCATCGCAGGAGTCTTCCCGTAGCTCCAGCCCTTACCAACCATTCTCGGCAGCTCCACACGCATGCAGGCTGGTACTCCAGCCCACAGGGCCTCCCCCGAGCCCACAGGCTGGGCGACCATCCTTACTTAGTCCAGAGGCTTTGTGCTCCAGTGGGAAGAGTTCTGGGTTAAAATCCTGACCCTGCTGCTTCCTCGCTGTGCACCCTTGGGCAAAACACTTAACCTCTCTGAACCTCAGTTTTCTCATCTGTTAAAAGGGTATGGTGTACCTATCTTGCAGGCTAGTCTCAGATTTAAATGAGATCAAGTATTGTGGCACTTGGCACAGAGTCTGGCACATAGTAGGACCTCAATAAGGAGAAGTCCCTTCCACCTTTTCTTGCAGAGGATGGGAAACAGCTCATCTCAAACTACCTGGCCTTGGAGAGGGTGCTAGGTCACAAAAGACAGCATCGTCAAATCCGTGTGACATTTTGCCACTCTCTCCCTTCTCTAGGCTGTGACCTTTGGACAAAGGGATGGAGCTCAGCGGCCTCAGCTCCCGAGCCACCTCTCCTCCCCTGCTCTGTCCTCTGCCAGCCTAGGAGGCCAGAGGCTCGCCGTCAGAGGGGACCACCCGGCCGGCCTGGGAGCACTGCACAACTCAGCTCGGTGGCTTCCCTGCACCCCAGACCTGTGTCCTTTTGCTCGGGAAGAGTTGGGGACCCCTGAGCTGGGACTCAGGACCAGCCAGGGAGACACGGAATTGATGCGCAAGGTGCGGGGCAGGTTAGGGAGGAGGGATGCAAACTGCGTGTGGAGTCCCCGGGCCGTGGAGACCAGGGCAGGAGGCCCAGGGAGCAGGCTCGCGGGACCCATGTGCGTGGACATGTGTGTACATGTGTGCGCGATGCCATCTGTGCTCGATTCCCCTTGACGAGCCAGAGCCAGGCGGCTCCGCATCCCAGTGTGTCCTGGGCTGTCCTGGGCTCTGTGCAGTGGGTCCCGGCTGAGCCCTCAGGGAACACGGGCAGGCGTGCGGGGCTGAGCCAGCTTAGCGGGGGCTACGGGCCGACCTGTGCAGAGGGACAAGCTGTTTCTTTGTCAACATCTGGTCTCAGAGGCTCCAACCCAAGCCTGTCTGGTTTGTGGCACCTCCCCACACAGCTCCCAAGTGCAGACAGACAGTCTCGCATGCCGCCCGGGTTCTGGGTCTCGCTGGGTCGGTTCCCAGACCTCCCACTCCTGTTCTGCGAGCACCGCCCTTTTGCCCCACCCTGCCCCTCTTCTTCGGAAAGCACAGTGGCTCCCTAGCGAGGATGACTTCTGGGGGCTCCTTTCAGTTCACCTTCATCCATGACACCCCTGAAGCCCAGGCCCTGAGAACTGGGGCCCTGGGAGGGGCTTCTAGAACATTGTTTCCCTTCCCTCTGCTTCGGCACTTACACCAGCTAAGGTTGTCGACCACAAGGACAGATGCGGGTTCCTGGGACGCATGTGTGTGGGGTTTTAGGGGGTGCACACAGCATCCTGCTTGCAAAGGATTTCCCCTCCCCTTCACCCCTAAAAAGTGCCATTGGGAGGCGAGGAGGGAGGCTGTTTCCAGCAGTTCTGCGTTCTCAACTCCAGCCCGTGCTGAGCCCCAGTTGCGTCCCTGTTACAGGGGGTTCTGTTTGCTCAGGGCCCTGCATTGTCTCTCACCTTCATGCCTGCCTGGCCGGTGACCTGCAGGGAGCAGGTCGTGCTCACAAAGTGGTGGGAGCCTCTGTATTATGTTCCTCCTTCTTTCTTTATTTTTCTGGTGTCTTTTTTTTTTTTTTTAGAGAGAGAGAGAGAGGAGGGGAGAGATAGAAATGTCAGCGAGAGAGAAACGTCAATGAGATGTCTATGTTCCTGACATTCCATACCTTGTAAGGGCAGGGCTCACATTCCCAAAGCTCTGGACCCCACTGTCTGATCCGGCATTAAAGGGAGCTCTGTCCCCAGGGGGGCAGCAGCAGGCAGCGTGCCCAGGGGTGGGGCGCGGCCTCACTGAACGCCCCGCGCACTGCCCAGCTTGCTTTTCTTCTGGTCACTACCTTCTCCAGACATCTCCCTCCAGAGAGGGAGCCCGACTTCAAAACCCCACCTGGGCTAGACTCAGCCTCCAACCAGGGGGAGGGTCTTCCCACCTTGGGCGACCCTCAGACCTGCTCGAGCTCTGGGGGCCACGCCTGCTTCCAAACTGGGAAAGTGATGAGACTAGAACTGTTTCCCAAGGCCGAGGCGAGGGAGCCCCTGTGTCTCCAGAGAACCTTCCCGCTGCCTGCCCAGCACTGGCACCTGCAGGGCCCGGAGGCGAAGGCCCTGTGGGCTCTTCTAAGTGGCAGTTCCTTTTCCAAGGACTTCTGTGGCTTAGCTCAGCACGTGTGTGTCTTAGGGGCATTTTACACACATTTGCACAAGCCCCTGCCTCTCCAGTGTTGCTGGGGGCAGCTCTTAGCAGCAGCTGCCACTGTGTCACCCAGCGGCCTGACCCCAGGCCTGAGCCTCGGCTCTGCCCGCTGGCCTCCCGAGGGCCTGAAATCCAACCAGAGCTTCTTGGGCCCAGGGACAGCAGTCCTTGTCATGGGCCTCTTGCTGGGAGAAGAAACGAGAAAGGGAGAAGCAGGCAGGGTCCAGCTACCCTGCAGCAGAAGTGCCCGCCCAAGCCGCAGCCTGCTCCTTCTCTCCTCTTGTGGCGGAGCTAACTAACTGGCTACCAGAGCCCTGGGCAAGGCCCAGTGGGACCTCCTAAGGCTGATTTCCCACCCAGTCACAGCACCAGCTTAAGATTAAGAACAGGGCCTGAGGGACCCAGGGAGGCACCCCAGCCTTCTCTGCACCCTTGAACTTCTCTCTTTGCCGACCATGTTTCCTGGGGCCCATCCCTGCTCTTGACTTTTCCC